ATTTCTTTACAAATTACAATTTAGTCAATTATACTAGTCTATACATTTCTTTACAAATTACAATTTAGTCAATTATACTAGTCTATACATTTCTTTACAAGATTCAATTTAGTCAATTACACTAGTCTATACATTTCTTTACAAGGTTCAATTTACTAAATTATACTAGTCTATACATTTCTTTACAAGTTACAATTTAGTCAATTATACTAGTCTATACATTTCTTTACAAGGTTCAATTTAGGCAATTATATTAGTCTATACATTTCTTTACAAGTTACAATTTAGTCAATTATATTAATCTATAGATTTCTTTACAAGTTACAATTCAGTCAATTATACTAGTCTATACATTTCTTTACAAGTTACAACTTAGTCAATTATGTTAGTCTATACATTTCTTTACAAGGTTAAATTCAGTCAATTATACTAGTCTATAGATTTCTTTACAAAGTTCAATTTAGGCAATTATACTAGTCTATAGATTTCTTTACAAGGTACAATTTAGTCAATTATACTAGTCTATACATTTCTTTACAAGGTTCAATTTAGTCAATTATATTAGTCTATAAAGGTTTTGTACAAGATATAACTTGGTTAGTTATTCTAGTTTATAGCAACATCTTTACACGATCATTTATACTAGTCTATATATTTTGCTACAAGGTATTATTTAGTCAATTATACTAGTCTATAAAGATTTCTCTAGAAGGTATAATGTGGTCTAGATTTCTTTATAAAGTATAATTCAATCAATAACACTAGATTTCTTCACAAGGTATTATTTAGTTAATACTAGTCTACAGAACTCTTTACAAGGTGTAATTTAATCATTTATACTAATCTATAGATTTCTTTCCATGGTATGATTTTGTCATTTGTATTAATCAATATATTTCATTAGAATCTATCATCTAGTTAGTTATAGTAGTCTACAGAGATTTCTTTTCAAGGTATAATTTAGTTACACTAATCTATAGATATATTTACATTGTTTAATTTATTAACGTATTCTAATCTAAAGGTTTATTTGCAAGGTATAATTTAGACAGTTATACTAGTCTATACATTTCTGTACAAAGTATAACTTGGCCACATATATTGACCTACAGATTTCTTTATAATCTATTATTTAGTTGATTATACCAGTCTTTAGATATTTCTTTTCAAGGTACAATTTGGTCTGTTATACTATTCTATTATAAAATATCTTTCCAATAAATAATTTGATCAGACATACTAATCTATAAACTTCTTTAAAAGGCATAATTTAGTTACCTTACTAGCGCTCATCTATACTGAATGTTTTTTTCCAAGCTTTAAATGTATTTCATTATTCTAAATGTAGCCTAAAAAAAGGGTTTTTTCACAGTGTGTGCATGTGTTTACATAAATTCGTGTAGATAAATATCCAATTTTAGTAAACTGTTTTAAGTGATACATTTATATGAACTTACTCTGATTTTGTATTTGTGTTATTCACTCACATATAGTTTTTACTTCTTTTGCAATACCCTAAATTGTTAGGTAAAAGAATTCATCCTTCAGTTGTTAAGCTTGAAAAGTCTGTTAAGAGTCAACTTCTATATTTTTTATTTATTTTGGTTTTTGTTTAGATTACAATGTATGAATGAAATATCTAATATATTCTTTATAATCACATTCTTCTTTCATGATTCAGAGCTGTACTACCTTACAATTAGCAGACATGAAAAAAATATATAAGTTGCAAAGTACATATTTTACCTAAAACTGTAAGAAGAGCAGTGGTTGAAGCAATGTGGTGATTGGAAGTCACTAAACATGTGTACTCTCCTGAATCTGACAACACACATCTGTTGACAATAATAGTACAGTAGCCATCATTATCACATGTTGCAGTCACTCTCTCCTTCAATGGAGCCCCATCTGGTGGCCACAATGATCCTTCTGGTGATGGAGAACTGCCCTCTGGTGATGAGAAACTTTCTTCAAGTGGAAAAGAAATATTTTGGTCTGAAGGAGATGGTGACCTTTGGGCATCCATAAAAAGGTCTTGGTTTCTTTGGGAGTGATCAGTATGAATTTTGATTATTTCTGATCCATCTGAAAGCAACCAATTAATCTTGATTTGTTTAAAAGGTACAACTCTGCATGTGAGAGCTGCTGTTGCTCCTTCTGGGACAACAAGATTGTTTAAACACTCTACAAAATGGAATGAGGTGTCCACAGACAAGAATGGGGCATCCTGAAGGAAGAAATAAATATTACTTTATTTCACTTTCTCACAAGTTAATTATGAGGAATAATAATCAGTATAATCATTATAACAACTGTAGTGAAAATCTGTGTCCACATTTTACACCATTCATATATTTTAAGTAAAAATGTATCAAACAAATATAAACACACACATGTGTATATAAAAAGTTATATAAAAGTAATTACAGCAGTATCACCCACTACTGCCATCTTGAAAATGGCTTGCAAATTTGTATCCTCTGATGATTTCAAAGATATATTTATACACATGGAATGATCACTTTGAGCATTATCTATTGTAAAAACATAGTTGTCAGGATTTGAGCAAAGTATAAGAGCAATCTAATGTTTTCAAGCATAAACTTTCCGTAACATCTTTACCTCAGTTTTGGGAGTAGAGAGAGGTGAATCTGGGAAACTGTGTGTAGTGAGGATTAAACTTTCATCAAGTGACCTTCTTTCCTTCTCCTTCTTATCTGATTTGAAACTTGGCTTGCGAAACTTGAACGACCAGTGCTTCCTGGTGAACAGTAATACTTTTAATAATACACATCTTCCTCCGTATGGTGTTTACAAATATTTTAAATACATCTTACTTTTGTTCTGAAAACTTTCAAGAAAATGACAAATAATTCAACAGTATTTTCAGTGCAATTTTACATCTATTCATGCAACACTATTTGTAGCTTTAATTGTACAACTGACAAACAGAAACTTTCAGATACATTTTCACACTAATTACTAACAGCATGGAATTTCACTGATAGCTGGATATGATGTAGTCTTTGATGAAAAATTTGCTACATGTACTTGTAGTTGACTGTTCAAATCTTAAGTATGATGGCCTAATAAAGTTTATAGTAATAATCCCTTTTATTTAACAACTAATTTTATTCAAACTTTCAACCCCAAACATTTTTTCAATCAGCTATTAAATGAAATGTATTTATATTTCAAGTCAGTAAATATACATTTGACTAATCTAAATCTTTCAAACTGGCCAAACCTCATGAGATATTAATAGGACAACAGCTGAAAATATCATTAACAGTGTATTCATCGAAATGATGAAACAATGCATTCTAACCTTTATAAGTAAGAACATAAGAAAAGTATACTTATTTAACTATACTAAACACCAGGTCAATTTTTAGTTTCATTATAAGTAGGTAACTTGCCTTGATCAGAAGTTAATATTCATAAGATCTTAAAAAACATTAACAAAAATCTTGTAATATTATTTTTCAGATAAACAATGTTTGATCAGTCTGTCTCTGACAATCACTGAATCAACCCACTTTTCCTTTGAAACTGGTACATGTAAAATCAACACCTACCTTCCTCCTTCCTTTACTTGTGTTAATACATTAACTGGAACCCACCCATCATAAGGTGAGGAACAATCTCCAGTTGTTTTTTGTACATGATATCGGCTCTGCTGAGGGTCAGTAGCCAGTAACTGGACAGTGTCTCCTTTAGTCAATGATATCTCTCCTTCATTAACTCCATCAAAGTCCATTATAGCTCGCATCAAGGTTGGGGATGGTAAATCCTAATGACCAGTAAAATATATTTTAAATGCAGATTTAGAAAATTATGAAACTTATACCTGGCATAGGCTCATTCTGCCTATAATATTTCATGTAGGCTTATGCCTGCTGTATGTTCAGTGCGGTAAAAAGTACTCTGTATTCATGATACAGATTTTAGACAATTCTTAGTTCAATTAAGATGGCATTTATGTTTACATTTGATGTAGAAATATTGGGTTGACATAAAAATTTAAGTCCACTTAAAGGAATAGACTTTTCCAGTTTAACTTATAGTACAAGTTTTATAACGCTCTAGGTTTGGTTGAGCAAAGACTTTCTTCTTTTTCTTAGTTTATTGTACAGGTTCGATTGGCTGAAATTTACTATAAAGCAAAACACAAAAGTAAAAGTTCAAATACATAAAGACCAAAATATTTGAAATTATCTTGTACCTTCTGTGATGACCCAAAATATATTCTGAAAAGGTTTTAACTGAATCATACAAATTTTAGTATATTAGTTTATGATGTGCAATCATTCACATAAAAAAGAACTTTTTTCTTTGGATATCAATGGCTATGTTGGGTAAACTGAGCCTTTGGTATGTACTCAAGCTGTAAAAAATGCAAGCTCAGGTTGGAGACAGATTTTTACTCTATAAATTGGATATTCAATAAGATATTAATATTCTACAGTTAAAATTAACTCAAATGGGTAACAATACTTTTACCTTGTAATTTTAATTCAAGTGTTGTGTAGGTTTTAAAACAAAATACAGATTTACAATCATACAAATAAGGTCAGCTTGGTTTTTTTTGGTACAGATTAGTAACTAGTATTTCTAAAGGAAACAAGGTTTAAGAAGTTTAATATTTTAGTAAATAATGCCAAATTTATATAGAGAAGTATACAATATATGATCAGATGGATTATGTACATCCATGCAGTCTGGGAAGGATAATTAAAAAAAAAGAAGATATTTTGGATTCAGGTTTGTAATTAATATTTCTATAGGAAACATGGTTTTAGAATGGTGACACCTTTCAACAGATAACACTAAATTAGGTAGATGTATACAATGTAAGGTCAGATGCATAATGATAATGTAAATACAGGCACAAGCAGACTTATCTTTAAAAAGTTACATTTTAATATCAGATTTCATTGTAAAATAAGAGATCATGTGGTAGTAGACTTCTGTGAATAATGAGATTTAGGTAGATATCAGACTTATATACAAACAAGATTTAGGTGTATAGTAGATATTTTTTATACAGTAAGATTTAGGTGTATAGTAGATATTTTTATACAGTGAGATTCAGGTGGATATCGGACGTTTTATATAGCGAGATTCAGGTAGCTATCACATGTTTTATATAGTAAGATTTAGGTGTATAGTAGATATTTTTATACAGTGAGATTCAGGTGGATATCGGACGTTTTATATAGTGAGATTTAGGTGTATAGTAGATATTTTTATACAGTGAGATTCAGGTGGATATCAGACGTTTTATATAGTGAGATTCAGGTGGATATCACGTTTTATATAGTGAGATTCAGGTGGATATCACATGTTTTATATAGTGAGATTCAGGTGGATATCACATGTTTTATATAGTGAGATTCAGGTGGATATCACATGTTTTATATAGTGAGATTCAGATGGATATCAGATGTTTTATATAGTGTGATTCAGGAGTATATCATATATCACCAGGATGACAAGAATTGATATCAAAACATGTAAAATGCCTTTTAAGACCACTGATAAATCTTAGGATAAAGATTTTAATTGTGTATTGAACAATCTTGATAATTTAAATATTTACACAAGTTCTTTGAACTTTAACCTTTTAAGATTCAAGAGGATATCAGATATTTCTGTATACTGCAGTTCAAGTGGATATCAGATATTTTTGCACAGTGAGATTTTAATAGATAAACTTTTTTTGCTGTAGAAGGTTCATCTGGTGTGTAGCAAACTTCTGCGTATAATAGGAATGGAGGTACACAGTAGGCTTCTGTGTTTAATGATATCCAATTGGCCAGCAGACTTGTGTGCACAGAGCATATTCCAGTGTGTTGTAGATTTCTTTGCATAATTAGAGCTCATAGTAGCTAACATTTTTGTACAAACATGATTCACACTAGCAGACTTTTATAGTGAACAAAGATTCAGAAAAGGAAAAGAAATCTATGGTTAACAGGGTATGAAGAGTAGCAAAATTTTGTAATTAATGCAGGTTCTAAAGGTTAAAAGACTACTCAACACAATTTCCAAGAATTAGCAGATTGCTGTATATAGCAGTTTCTACAGATTAGTTGAATTCTGTAATAAAAATAGACTCAACAAGTTCAGAAGATTAACAAACATTTGTACTTAACTTAGGTTTATTACAATAACAAACTTATTTTACTGATGTTTGCTCCAGTGAAGAACAGGATTCAATACTTAACCTGACATGGTAGTGGATTTTGTACACAAAACTAACATAGATTCAGAATGTTAAGACTTTTATAATTAACATACACATTCACCAGGGTAGCTAAATGCTGCACCTAGCATAAGTTATGAGGGTAAAGTAATAGTGTACTAAATAGTTTATGCATGATAAAATATTCTTTCAATGAAAAAGGTTTAGCATACACACACACATAATTCATATTCAGTAGGATGACATATTTGTCTGTACACTATGTTCAGTATGGTATGAATTACTTCAATGTTATGAAATGCTGTAACACTTGTACATGTAACAAATAATATTTTTAAGTAGAACATACTTGGTTTTCAATATCTGTGCATTGCGGGTTCTAAGTTGCTTGGTAACATGAATTATAACTATTTAAAGTTGTCAGTATTTGTTAATATTAACTTTTCTGTAAATATCTCAGGACCTACATGTTTTAGATAAGACACTGTTAATCAAAACAGTTTTGGAAATGACATTTTAATATATAATTGTATTGTGTTTATATTCTTTTATCCTCAAATGATGTTCTCTTAGAGCTGTATTAAGATATGGAAATGTTTCTCAGGGTTCCTACTTTTGTTTAGAGGATAATTGATGACAGCTGTAAGTTTATAAGCTGTGTATTCTGTGACAGGTGATGCAAAGCACTAACTCACTGATATGACATACAGTCAACACTTGAGATCACTGTCACTAAACACAAAGTCTTCATTAATACTACAAACCAAGATCAATCATGACATAAAATCTTTGTTATACACAATTTAAATCTTCACATTTAAACTCAAAATATGCAAATCAAGGAGACATGTTTGGTGAGTTGATTACCAAATAAAACTTTCAAGTATACTCCCTTCTTTTCAATTTTGAGCAGAGATTTGAGCTCCTTGTAATACATATGGATTCTGAATTGCTCACCACTGTGGCTGAATCTGCAATAGTTTCCAGAATGTGAGAGAATAAAACCCATACCCCTCATCCCAAATTCTACACAACACATTATAGTAGCCTCTTATGCTGTTGTAAGATGGCTAAGTGCAGTACCTGCTTGAATATGCACAATTCTACTGTTTTGTGCAAGAGGAACACAGTCCTGCCAACCCCTAAATTCTGCATCTTTATGGCACAACAACAGTGTAGTTTTTTTAGGTTAACAGAATGAGCTCTTTATCACAGTACATTTTTTTCAGTTGAATTTGAATACTGGAAACTGTAGCCCATGGAATCCCCTCAATTCAGTCTCATCAACTTGCAGACTGGGTGTTAAAAGAAAGTGACACAAATATTTATAGCATCTGTCATCAATGTATTTTATAAGTAGTACAAATTTTTGTATCTGCAAATGATGTCTTCTAGTTCTGATGGATGGGTAGTATGTTTTTATAGATGTTAATTAACAGATATTATATAATATAGAACATGTATTCCCAACACTGGACTTAATTGAAAGCTGTAACTTCAGAAAATCTGCATCTAAGGCTAAAATGATGTGCAAGTTCTTCTTGCTTTAATACATGGATTAAGTCCACAAACTTTTAAACATTTCTGAAAGTTACACATGAGATTTCACTACTTGTATTGGACTAAGAAATACTGCTTGATGGTTTAAATACACAATATTGACAAAAATCTTTTTACTCAATTAACCATCTAATTTTAATTGAGTTTAAAACACAAAGTGCCACAAAGTTTAGGAAACATTTTTATGATTACCATGGGACATCACTTAAAATATTTTTTTGATTTTTTTTCCACAATCAACCAAAATATGTTGAGTTCAGAAGTTCGAAGGAAGTTTAGTTAAAATGACAAGAACAAAGGTTAGCTTCCCCTACTGATTTAGTGGTGCAAGTCAGCAAAGCACAAAAAACATTTAGATAACAAAATGCGACATTTTCACCAAAAAAGCTTGATTTGATTTTATCTCTCAAAATGAAAATTATTATAATGAATATATAAAGGTTTAAAAGATTAGTTGTTATATAATGTGCTATTTAGTCACACCTAACAGTCTCAATGATTATTCATTCATTCATAAGGTTAAATAGACATTATCTAGAATGTACATATCTGCAAGATAATCATTTCTTAAAAACTAGCAGTTATAATAAATTCAACATTTACAAATGTGCAAGTTTGAAAAGATTAATAATTAAAACAAAATGCGACTGTTTAATAACAAATATCACAACTGATGTTAATATAATTACTATACCAACAATACTTTCTAGTAGAACACAAGGTCAAGATCTGATTTCATTACAGAAATCTAACAAGTCAAATAACTAAGATTCCTAAGACATTATTTTAGCTTGAGAAACTAACATGAAAAATTTATAATGTTGAAACTGTTCTGTAGTAGTGATATTAGTGTTAACTATCACTTCTAACAATCTGAACTTGAACCTGACTTGTGTTATGACATCCGAGCTACAATACGTTTTCTTTTTTGAAGAAATCTTGTTAGTATCTAAATTTATATAATGTATACCAACTTCTGCAAACACGTAATAATTGAAAATTAAAGTAAAAATTTCAATGAATTA